GTATATAGGTACCAAAAAAAAAAAAATTAGTTCAGCGATTATACGCATGGAGCGCCACAATCGCCGTGGATCCACGACTTCGTGCGAGTTGCCCCTCTTTCTATAGTATACTTATTATACTCTTTGGATGACATTTAAAAAAAGGTGATCTTGGCAAGGAGGTTATGTTTACTGCTTAATTTTGTCGAGTCAGATCAAATATCTGCGGATTCATTTCAAGAGCTATAACAGCAACAACAATATGTTGGTGACTTTAAAAACATTACAACAAGTATCTTTTCAAATAGAAATAGATCCCGAGGAAACTGTCAAAGCACTTAAACTTAAAATTGAAGTGGAGAAAGGTAAAGACTATGCAGCGGACTATCAAAGGCTTATTTATGCGGGAAAGATTTTACTTGATGACAATAAGATAAGTACATATAATATAGATGAGAAGAAATTCATTGTCATTATGGTGACTAAACCGAAACCAAGTGAAACACAGGCATCGTCGACTTCTACTCCTGAGGCGGGAGAATGTGCCGCTTCGACTGTAGTAGGAGATAGTAAAGAGAAAAGTAGTGCTGAGGAAACGCCAAAGCCGCCGACCGCCGCTGAGCCCGAACGTACTTCCGAGCCTGTTGCACCAGTTTCTGCCGAACTCGACTTTGAATCAACTGTCCAAAGCATCATGGATATGGGTTACAATAGACAACAAGTAGAGCAAGCGTTGCGAGCTTCTTTCAGTAATCGGGAGCGAGCAGTAGAATATTTAATCACAGGTATTCCAGAGGAGCTGCTACAAGAACAAGAGGCAGAAGAAAGTCCTGAAGAGGATCCTCTAGCATTTCTTCGAGACCAACCACAATTTCAGCAAATGCGTGCTGTTATTCAACAAAATCCTAGTTTGCTGAATACTGTACTTCAGCAAATTGGACAAACAAATCCGGCACTCCTGCAAGCTATCAGTCAACACCAGCAAGCATTTGTGAGAATGCTAAATGAGCCTGTAAACCCACCCGCTCCTGGGGCAGCAGTAGAAGATAGTGGTGCAGAAAACCCTATGCCACAACCACCACCAAGTGTTGTCCAGGTGTCACCACAAGATAGAGAGGCCATTGAACGGTTAAAGGCACTAGGCTTCCCAGAACACATGGTTATTCAAGCATATTTTGCCTGTGAAAAGAATGAAAATCTTGCAGCAAACTTTCTGTTGTCACAAAACTTTGACGATTGATTTTTTGCTGCACCTTTATTGATTCAGTGAGTATGAAATATAAAAACATTAACAAAAAAACAGTGTAATTACTGTTGTCATCCACAGCCTAGTACTTGTTTGCTTTAAATATTTCATGTGAATTTTCACATAGAATTACACAATTTGTCATAAATATAATAAAAATTTTATTGTTTATTCACTCATCTAAGAAAATGTGTTTTAATTGAATTTCCTTTCCTATTTGTAAATTTTTAACTATTGTAAGTTTTTATTCTTGACACAATCCAATTTTGCCTTTCTTTTGTCAATATAGGTGCCACCTGTACTGTAATATCCAGATAAGCTTTCAATTTCTGCGCCAATTAAAATATTTATGTGCCAAAGCCACAAAGCAATACAGAAGGGACACAATGCTACTAGCTGAAGTCGTTCCATTTACATTTGTTAAGTAGATGTGTAAACCAGCTTTAAGTCAGTTTAAAAGTCCTAGTCAAATAGACGAGCTGTGGCTCAACAATTAGATTGGCAGTTCATGTCTCATCACAATGTACTATAACTATGCAAGTTGACAAGCTTAGTGACTTGCAGTTGCAAGCTGGTTCACTAATCTGTGGTTTATTAATTTTAATTGAGTTATTCATGAATATTACTAAGTTATCAGTAATAACTACAATTCAATTTTATAACAGACTGTTCCAACTAAATGCATTATAACTATGTAAGGCCCAAAAGTCTTATTTTTAATCTTAGTTGAATTTCCCTTCTAAATAATGCAATTACATAAACAATGGCTATGATAACTTTTCTATTGGCGTTGGCAACACAGGCGTGAAGTGGAAGCATTTCCGCGTTTCGTCTGGTGAGTGCGGTGTCGAAAGTTTAATTTTACTTCCCTTCCCTTTCCCACCTTTTCCTTGAGGAAAGAATGTAAAAGGAAAGTGGAATTGGCAGAGGAGGGGACACACAAGAAGGGGAAATAATCTTTTTCTGTGCGTCATCTCCTTCGTCCATTAGAGGTAGGCAACGCATCTGTATGTGCGGGTGTCTATGCGCAGTGGTCACTTCGCTATTTCGGCAAATCTAGGTAGACACTTGCTCGTTTACCACCTACTAAAATAAAAATTATAGTCGTAATACAGGCGTTACGACCGTGGAGATTTGCTGTAAAAAAGAACTAAATTAAATATGGTACTGAATTTATTACATTCACAAACGTTTAAGTTATTTTAAAAGAAAACGTTTTACCTATTTTATTTTTCTCGATGTAACGATTTTTTCGACCTATAGTGAACAATATGACAATGTTGATCAAAAAAATCTAATTTTGCTTTGATAAATGTATTTAGAAGATACTGTTTTAATTTCCTTGTTCGATTATACACATTGAACAGTGTGTGCGTTGTTTATCGTCCATACTGCAATTGATGTTGTAAATATTTAGAGGTACACTCAACCTCTGATATACAGTGCTCAGTTAAAACAATTTGTGAACAAAATATTTCTAAATAAAAGAAACTTTAAAATGCGAATAAAATGAACGCCCTTAGTATTAGAGCGTCGGTGACGCTGTGATTAATCTGTGGACTTGTAATCTGCAGGAACTGGGTTCGATTTCCGCCATGTATCGTTTTACGAAATTAATTTATCCCACGTTCTTACGGTGAAGGATTGTGGGATACGTCGTGATGCAATCTGCATTCTGCCAGCGTGGGTGACTTAGGACCCCAAACTCTGAGGACTTGAGGCCCCTGGTTATATAACCTATATATCTATGGAACCATATACCATGGGCTTCGCCAGATGATAATTTAGGCTGGCTCTAAAGGGAGGACGGAACAGTTACCAAAAAGTTCGGGCTTATTTAAAGTAGTGTTTGTATCTTACATTTTTAAATTCTTTCATCATGAATTCTACATCATGTCTATCTTGGTATGTTTGTCAAATAGGTAATTTTATAATTGCGACTTTTATCAAAATGATTATATTATCGTTCTCACTGATAATAACTTAATCTACACTTGACTGGTAAACAATTACTTTTTTTAATAATGGAATTCGAGTAAGAAAATGTAAAGCATACCTTGTATCATAACCCAAGAGTTAAGGATTTTTTTTAAATTTGTAACATTGAAAAAGAAAGAAGACCACCTTACATCAAACAGTTAATATTATTAATATTTATAAATAGCATAAGTTAACATAAAAAGCTATGTTGGTATAAATTTATTTATTCTAAATTGAAAGGCACTTTCCACAATTTTATCATTAATATAAAAATCACGTACCATGATAGATTGGACCGCATTATATTCAACTACAATGAAATTTCCTAATAACCTTTACAAAAAATATTGAAAAATAAACCAATCTTAATGTTGCTAATCTATCATGACACGTGATATATTCTCTTATAAAACCTTAAATAATATATCTCTGATAGTTAAAATTACCCTTCCACAAAAAATACAATAATATAATCTGTGAACGTCAAGAAAGTTATGGCGTCTGGTACAAGTGTCAACAATAATGTTTTATGCTAAAGAGGTCGAAGTGAGAGTTATTGTTGGTGATATGCAACATCAGCCACTTTAAAATTACATTGTGTATATACAAAATAATTCCATTTTTATTTATACACTATTTTACTGAACTATCTTTATACAATTTACATCATTTTTTATCTCAGATTTATTACATTTTAATTTTACCGAAGAAAAATTACAAAACCCTATTTATACAATGCAATAAACTATTGCACAAAAAAAAAACTAAACATTAACTTTGGCTTACACATTACAAAAACACTTTTAGTAGTGTTGTGAATACTTAAGCAACTTTGTAAGTGAATAACAGAAGAACATGTAAACCTTTACCAGTTTATATCTCGTTAAATTGACAACGGCGACCATTCTATCATGAAAATATAATATCACATTCTTCAAGTAACCACTGCATTTATTTAATGCTAATAACTATAGATATATAACTATCTAATCTGGAGCACAAAAGTGAGGCGAAAAAAAAGACCTTCAGTGGCCTTTTGTTGGGGTCAAATTCTTCACTGTAGAGAGAAGAAAAAAAAGAAATTTCCTCATTGTACAATATTAAATGACATTTTCGAAAATAGAATTCGTCTCTCGATCGTATGAAACACTCCATCTAAAGGTTATGTATCTATAACTAAAAACATTATTTTTATTATAATGTCAAATCTATACAAATTCTATCACAAAATTGTATGTCATTAAATCCCATAAGAAAAACATGGTTTCGGACATTTCTTTCGACATAAGAAAATAATGTTATTACTAGCGATATTAAGTTATAAAAAAGGATATTAATATTCTCGGTTTAAACATTATTGTATATTAAAAAATAAGATTAACCAAAAATAGAAAATGGCACAAATGTCAAACATTCTTTTTCTGTAACCAGCTCTTCTTATGAATATTTTGGAATGGTACATACAATGAACAGTATTACATAATAGAAAACAATATGCGAACATATTTATTTGTATGGGTGACATAATGAACAGGATGTCACTAGAGAAGGCATTAGTTCTTAGAGAAATAATAAAAATATTTAAAACAAAATGTTTAAAACAACAACATGCAGATAAACATAAGTATAAACAGTTAACATATAAAGTATAACAATGTTAATGTAACACAAGCTATTTGCCAAATTATTTTCATGTAGAATAAATTGAATTTTAACCCTTCTTATATATATAGAAGTGGTTTCTTTATTTATCTCTCTATTTACAATAAAATATACACAGATTTTATTGACACCCACGCGGGCACCCTGTATCAACGTTACAGCACAAGCCACTTGTTACAACGCCTCGGGAGCAAGAAGGCGGCTTGACTTCGCCCTCGGCACTTGATGCCTATAACCAGTTAGTACACATGCACTACTGCGCTTTAGAATTAGCCTACTTACAAAATTTTCATATAAAACTAAGAGATTTCTAAACGATTTTTGACACTCATCAGCGCAACTTTGATGTTTCATAAGTGTTTATTTTCACATTAATTGAAAATTTTTATTCAGAAGTCTATCAAAACTGGCAGATGCGCTAAAATACTTTATGAGACGGAACAAAGTAGGTATCACTCTAAACGCAGCAAGAAGTAACAACGAGTGCCTTGAAAGTCTCACCGGCGGGGCAGCGGCACACCTGGTTAGCCGGCTGGGCCTCATTCTGTTTTTTGTTGACAGTAAAGTTCTTTTAGGGACTTAAGTTCTTCTATTAACGCCTTGTTTTGATTTTCCAAAACTGCCACTCTATTCTCCAAACATTTTATGTATTCTTTTTTTTTACGGCGACACTCCCTAGCTGCTTCTCGATTTTTCAGTAATCTTAGCTCCCGTTTTCGCGTTTGGTCTTCTAACATGGGACCTAAAATTATAGTACGATTTGTTCGTTTCTCCTACAAACAATTTTAAAATGCCAAAACGTTGGATCACAAAATGATATCAAAACTATATACTAACCCGGCACATAAAACTGTCCATCTTGGTTAGTCGCGTATTGAACGATAGTGCCCCCGCCAGCCGCCCCCGACACCGCGAGCGTATGCAGCCCGCTCTCTGTCTGCAGCGCGCCCGCTGGAATTACTATTGACAAAAACAGGTTATTAAACACCAAGAAAATTACATGGTTGTTTTATTTTATGAAAAATATAAAGATTGTGCTTTTAATCATCAAAATATTATTTATTATTGAATGCTAGGTTTTAGTTATAGCTCATGTATGAATTTACTACAAAATAGCCATAATAACATTTAATATTTTAATAGACAAAACAATAACTTATTTTTGTTTCTAATTTAATTAAATTATTAATGTATATTTAAATAAGCTTGATATCACGATTTATATTTCTTTCTAAATTAATTTATAAACATGAAAGGTCAGTCTTTCAACATTTAATTTTAAAATTACATTTCAGAAATTATCGATATTATAAAAATAAGTCTGGAATTAAGAATTTATCGTGACTAACAAATATTTTATATAAATACACTCGCCGCTCGCGCCGAAGGCATGTTTCATCGTATTCTTAACGGATGACGTAAGCGAGTATGAGGTAATCAAGATGACGTCATTCAGTCCCGGTAAAATAAGTTGCAAAACAAAGGAACTTTGGAATTATACTTTATACCAGAGTTCTTAAATACAAATTATATATTCTGTAAGCTTGACGATAATTACGATTTTTTTATACTTTAGCATAAACACTGTGATCAAAGATTGCTCTATTGATGAGAGCAAAGACATTCGTAAACAAATATCAAGGACAAGTTTATAAGAATGTATTTCTCCGATCATCACTACAAACATTAAAATTTAGATTCACCTAGATATCTCTAAGTATTATCACAAACGTGCCATACATAAAATTTACGCCTGTAACCCAGAGGGGTAGGCAGAGATTGTAGATCCATGAATATCACATAATTGTTAATTATGCATACCTCTCTTAACCCCTTTCAATAGGAAATTTAAATAAATCTTAATTTTCTTACTACCATAAAACATAAACATTAAGAATTTTAGACTATGAGATGTGTCATCTTAAGTTATTAATTCATAGCGATGTAGTATCTTCCTGTGACTTCTGTTGATAGCCTCAATATTGTTCACTGAATTAAAACATCGTGACAAAAAGTTAATATTGTTATCTCTTTCATAGTCTTTGAAAAGAAAGAGACAACATTATGTTTTTGTAAAGATTGTCTGTGAAAACTCACACTTGCTGTTTGTCCATACAAAATAGGTTGATTACAAACAAAATGTGTTTTACACTTGTCTTTGTATCTAAATATTGTCTTTAAAAAAGATTTATACAATTTAGAAACAAGTAAAGGTAACTCGTTTTTAAAGATTAATAACAAAATAAAAAGCGACTTGAATGTAGCCTACATGTTAATAAAGCTAAATGAATTAAGCAGAAATATCAAACACCTAATTTAATCAAACAACTTTTAAAGACTTCCAAAGAACACATCAGTTCATTTTTTATACTTAGAGTATAATTTTACTAATAAACAACAATTCCCAAAGCTTTTCCTTGTTGTGTGCACGTAAAACATTTGTTGTGAGATAGACATAGGCTTTGAAAATGACAACAAAGATTAGATAAGTATGTACTAAATGACATGGAACACACAACAGTGATGTTATAAACTTGTGACGTAGTTATTATGGATCAATAGGTTAGTGACACAAATTTTCACACAGTCTCCATGGCAGCACATTAAACTGACCTGGTGCAAACGACAAAGGAGTTGACAGCGATACTTCATTCTCACATCCCGGTTTAGAGCCCATGCGATTGTCTGTAATTATCACCATGTACTTATACTCCTGCCTACATGCATGGTTCGTACTTTGGCCATTAAATTTGTATGTACACTTACTACCACATTATCATATAACTATATTATGTTACATTAAATAGAAAATCTACATTAATTATTCCAGATATTTATAAATAGTTAACATTCTGTGCATAGCTTTTGTGTTATTTACACATAATATCTGTCTGTATCAATCTACATTAAAACTAAAGAAGAACAAAACCGTCAAAATATTTTACACATTTGCATCACTATAAACAATATGATTTGTGTCAATTATGAATGCTTTGGTTTATAGGTGTACATGCTTTTTTATCAGTATAGTTTTACTATCAAATTAACAATATCAAAGTCACAAATTTTTATCAATAGGTTTAAGCACAACCTTTATATTTAACTGAATAATGTCAGTAAATGATATATTACAAATATAGGTTACATATAAGTAAATATAAAATTTATGACATTCAAATATAGTGAAAGTAAACTCACCCGCAATTTCAGCACCTCCAAGATCATTGAGTATCTTCCTGTATGAGGGGCGTCTTGTTAACATTTCACGGTATTTTCGTTTTGGACTCTCATCATCACTACAGCTGTCATCTGTGCAAGACTGTCCCTGTGTACTCACTACTGTATTTGGTTCTGGTTTAATCTGTGGTCCAATAAGAATTTATCTATCACTCGTCTAAAAACTCAATAACACAATCAAATTAATGTTATTCCAGTACCTGCAATGTTTGTAATGTTCCTTGCGTTGTGTGTATGACAGAGCTTGGTTTACTGACAAGTATTACATTTCCTTTAGGTAACTGCACTGATTGTATATTAGATGCTGTTTGTATCACTGATTGTTGATTAGGTTGAATAACTGATTGAGCCTGAAAGTAATAAATATAAATAGATATTTTTATAAACTGTATTGATGACTTAACATTGTAAATACTGCATGCTTTATTGTGTACACACCTGTGCTGAGGGAGATTGTGCAGGCAGGTTGAGCTGCACAATGCTGGTGGCGGCAACGACGTGTGGGGCTGGGGCGGGAGCAGAAGAGTTCGAGTTTGTCAACGGATCAGTGCCGCCCGCGCCACCGGACGTGCCGTTCTCCTCCACCATTCCCTCCATTCCCACTAAGGTCACCTAAAATATTCAAGGTCACCATTCTGTGCATTCCTTGAACTGTGTACACTCAAAACTTGTAAATACATTTGTTTAATATCGTAATCTGGTTTGCATAGAAGCACACTGTTGATAAAGAAATCCTAAAACGGCATCATCGCGTCATAGTTGGAAAATTTTCCTATTGCGTATGTCAGCCAACACGCAATATATTTACAAGTCTTCTAAACTCATACTTAAGATATAGAGAACTATTGACGAAAGGAATGTCCATATTTATAAACCGAAATCGAAGCGACCGTGACAGACCGCAAGATGTCTTCGGTACGAGCACTCACCAGTTACGTATTCTTCGTCACCGTATATGCTGCGTCCGGAGTGGGCGAACGGGACGGTACGTAGTAGCCACGTCAACTGCGAGAAGACTCGTCACTGGCGGAGACCTATGATCTTGTATGCGTCATAACAATATGGCCGAAAATTGTCAGACGCATGCGCTCTCCTACCAATTTTTCTTATCATTTATTTTGACAACGGGAAGTAGAAAAGTCAAAATCTTGGATGACATTATATAATCACAGAGTACTCATGTATAATTTATAGACAAACCAGTTTTGGAAGCGTTCTTTTTTTCGAAACACTTTGTTGCAGTTATTTTTAAAATGGCAATAGCAACTTGATTTAAATCATAAATTTGTTGCCTTGGATTGTTGATTGTTGTTTTTTTTCTAATAAGGCTGTATTTGCATTTCATTTTTCAAGATATTCAAAAGTCTGGACGTGATAATACTATATTTACTAAGTTCTCTACACATATATTAACTACTTATTAAGCTTTACATGTACTATGGCAAAAAATGGATTCGTTAACTTTTTTCATAACATTATTTATTTAAATAAATCAAACCCAAACATTTTAAAAATATGTTTACAACAAACTATGCTCTTTGGAGGAAACAGGAAATCGTGCTAAATGTCATCTTTTTTACTCCAAATCAAATTAATGTCAATGTCATTAAATTCTTATCGTCATGTCAGAGACTTAAAAACAAAAACAAACCAATCGATAGATCGACGTAATTAAATCCTACAAACAGAAAAATGTCTCGAAAAAATTTCTTCGATAATAATTTTGATAACGACGTCGGTCATATGCTTCTTAATGATACTTCAACGAGGGTCGGTAATTCGTTTATCGTTGGCTGTTCTACAGTTACGATTTAAAATATCTGTATTGAACCTATCCGCTTTGTTTTCTCTTAATTAGAGAAATGCATAGAGGAACTAGGTAACCGGAGCAAAAGATTACATACACATTATTTGATATGTAATCAAAACTATTTAAAGCTTCGTTTAAAACAATTTATTGGGTATTCTATCCAAACCATTGACAACTTAGTTTAGCAGTTAAGGCTTGTATAACAAGTTGTATAAAAATTATGAGATTTAAACACTTTGTTTTAGATCTCTAAAACATTTCAAAACAAATTAAATGACTACATGGAGAAAAAGCTTCATATGTTAACAACAAAGATGCAAAGTGAAATATTTAACAATGGAACGGTATACACAGGGTCAGCTGGTTTAGCTCTGTTCTATCTAAGGCGCCACTTGAAAAACCCACGGACTGATGATAATTACTTGAAGGTAATTAAAAACTATTTAGGATACTTGAAATAGTTTATTAAGACATGCATGGCCACCAAACCATGTTAAAACTAAAAAACCATCTCCAAAAGTAGTTGCCTTAAAAAAGAACATATTCCAGTCTTACCAAAGGTTTAGCTATTGTTTTAGAATTTCATATTCTATTAAGGTATTTACAGAATAATTCATACCTAACATAACTTTTTAATCCCATGTTTTAGTTGGCCTTACAATACATAGATTTAAGAAATTTAAAAGGCCGTCGAATTAGTTTCCTTTGTGGAGATGCAGGCCCACTTGCAATTGCAACAGTTATTTCATATAGAATGGGAAACAATCGTCCAAAGAGTTTACCTGATTATAACACATTGGCTCAAAGGTACTATGTCTTTTATAAATGTAATTTAGTGCAGTCGCTAATATTTTTCTGTTTCGTTAGAATTTATCATGTCTACAGCCATTTAAATGTAGTTGTTTTTTGTAATTTAATGTAGCTCAGAATTTTACATAAAACTTTGCTCACAATCAATCTAAAATTTGAACCATGCAATAGTGCTCCTTCTGTTCCATTTTTATTAGTAACTTAATCATCTTTTTCAGGTTACTGGATCTTATTTCTCTTTTGAAAGAATCACCTGATGAACTTCTGTATGGTGGCGCTGGATATCTATATGCTCTGCTGTTTGTAAAAGAATATGTCCATGAGCCCGACATCATACCTTCAAAACAAATAGAAAAGGTATAACCAAAAGTTTTTATTTTCATCTAATAAAATGTATTAGTAAAAAAAAATCAAGGTTATAAATCAATAGATATTAAAAGTCTAATAGCTATAATCTAAACCTGATGGTGGTCGTTAATAATGTAAAACTTTAATTATATATATTTACAGGTGATTGCTAATATATTAAGATCTGGAAGATCATTTTCGGCACAAATGAAGTCGGAGAGCCCGCTTCTGTGGCAGTGGCACGATAAAATTTACCTCGGCGCCGCGCATGGTGTAGCTGGGATATTATATCTTTTACTGCAAGTAAGTATAATAAACAAAGATTTCATAACATGCTTAATATTAACCCAAAAATAAGCATATTATTGAAGTCTGTGAGATAAACAAATAATCCAAATACTTGCCATTAATGACACCTTCTGGTAATTCACTTGAAATTGTACAATTTGTGGGAGATTGTATCGTAACTGATAATTTCTATTACATCAAAATATATTTTTATTAAATAACTGTGTGAATGTATTTGTTTGATATGCAATTTTATGATTTTTTAATTTACCGAGGCATACTACACAATGGCTATTGGGTAGAGATGTTCACCATGTTGTTATAATTACATTTGTAAATTAAATTGTCAATGAATAGGGTCGATCTTACGTTAACCATCAAGACATGCGATCATTAGTGAAGCCTACACTGGATTGGTTGGCACGCCAGAAATATGCAAGTGGAAATTTCCCATCATCTCTCGGCAGCAGCTCTGGAGATAGGTTGGTGCAGTGGTGTCATGGTGCCCCTGGTTTTGTGCCATTGTTTGTTTTAGCTTATCAGGTAAATAACTTTGTTTTTAACGTTTTTTTTTTATCTTTTAAGAATTAAAGATATTAGTTTCATTTTGATTTCTGAATAATTATTACAGATTTTTGAAGACGACGGATATTTTAAAATAGCTCTACAGTGCGGCGATATTATTTGGCAGCGTGGTCTGTGCGCTAAAGGGTACAGCCTCTGCCACGGAGTCAGTGGCAATGCATACTCCTTCTTTTATTTATATCAAGCCACTAAAGTAAGTTTGATGATTTTATTCCTCCAAACACATATTTTGACATTAAACCCATAGATTAACATGATACACAAATTCGTAATAGAACCTATATAAATTTTGTCACAAAACCCAATGTTAAGTTACTTATTTAAAAACCGCAGGACCCAATTCACTTGTATCGAGCATGCTGCTTCATGGAGTGGTGCGCGGTTGAGATGCCCGACACTGAGCAGCATCCACCTGACAGACCCGCCTCCTTGTTTGAGGGTCTGCTGGGTCGCCTATGTTTAGCTGAAGACATATCATCTCCAGAAGACGCAATGTTCCCTGCATTTACACTGTAAATTATTTTTAAAATGCCAAATACATAAGTATTGTGATCTCATTACATAATTTATTGTTATATGAACATGTTAAACATTGGTTTTTTCGGTTATTTGTCAAGTTTATGGGAAGTTTATTAACTAATATGTGATTGTCAACATTACAATAAAAATCCAATATATATAAAAAAGAATATCAGTGCACTTTATTCGATATAAAACATATATTTAAAATATTAATTGTAAATTTGAGAAAATATGTAAAATAACATAAAACTTAACCATTAAACATTATTATTATAACTTTTCTTTGTACATTATCACAAACAAAACCATACTTTTTCATATAAACATCAAACCTATTTTAACCAATGTTTGCATCACGTGATTTGATTGATAATTGTAATAAATATTTAAAAAATTGCAAGTTTTTATAATACGATTTGGCCAATTGGCCCAATTGATAAAAGAATTTAGCGTATAACGAATAATCGTTCCTATTACAATTTTCCATTGAAATTAGAGAAGTAAGAATTTCAAAGTAAATTAATTTGTAATAAATTCTATAACATAGGTTAATGGAACAAACTTGATAGTAGAAATGTGCTCACTAACGTATAATTTTACTCGCCACTAAATTAAATTGTACCCGCGGCTTTACTATACCGCTAACAAAAGTTGTTGTATTTATAAAACTATCTATTATGAAATTGATATATTTTCAATATTTACAAATATACAAAATTATAAAGGTAAAATGACGTTTGTATAGCAAACATGACGACTCATCCCACCAGAGGTCGCTCAATGTCTACCTCTGTTTATGCAAGTGCTATGTACACTAAATCTAACCGTGACGTGTGTCTTCATTGTATGGATTCGATTGCCCTAATGGGAAAAAGTCCCATTGGGCCGATTGATTGGTATACCATTCGGTCCAACGGGAAACAAGCATATTGTTATCTCATTTTTTTCAAGGGCAATGAGAGGGATAACATGTTTTTGCTCGAGTTTGGGCAGTGGTAAATCACTGTAAGCTTCTTTCATACATTCAAAGCCATTAACAATTATAAGTCACTTATTTACGAACGAACGAGTAATTTTGCAGTATGACAATGTATAAAAATGTAAAAATTTCGGTCATTTAGTTACCAATGGACAGCTTTTGGTGTGAGAAAATTATTTAATTACTTGTTAAATGCATTATAATTAGGTTACTTATTAATTGAATAAGCTGCATCATTGTGTCATTAACACTTCCACTGCCAGGATCTCCCCGGACGAGTTTACTTCCATACATGGAACACTTACATGTTTCTCGTAACCATTACATTTATTTTGTACACATATCACCACTTTTGAATATAAAACTGGACTTCTTCGCAGTAAAAATTTGGCAGACATAACTATCCCTACATGAACATGCAACTTGTGCACCATAACATGATAAATCCTATGACATCATAGTGGCGTGTTACTTCTATTTTAATGTAAAATTGTGTATTTCCCATAAAAGAGTAACTCAGCGGCCGCTCTAAGGAAGTTTCATGTTATTGTGCACGCGTTGTACTATTAATATATCCCAATACTTAAATGCGATTAGTAGTACTTTTGTTGTAACTTTTACTTATCTTAATAAACATACAAGCTAATGAGTCTTGTTTCCAACATACATTCATCTTGATTATAAACGATTCTAAGTTAACATATATCATAATCTATTGTTATATATTAAATTTTAATATACAACTGTCGCACAATATAATTGCGACAGCTTTTACAAACACGTATATCATTTATTTACAAAATATTTAAGATCATTCTTAAAAGACGTTTGGCCCGCAATGCTTTTGCCTTTATTCATTCTATAAATGTGTATATTGGAAACATTAACACTAACCATTTTTAAAGAAAATATTGTATATAGAATTAATTTAAATTGAATACAGACTAAAACTTTTATAATTACTTTGTATGGTTTTTGAAAGTCAATTGTTATTATTAAGTACACGGAAGGTGAGCGGAGGAGGAGGAGGTAAAAAATTCATATTTATAGTTACGTGAAATTTAGTAGAATTCAGTTGGCATCAAGTTGAGATTTATAAATTGAACATACCGCAATGCGTGTTGGTATTAAAGGGTTGCAGGAACCAGGCAAAGGCCAGTGTTCGTCAGAGCAGCGCGGCGCCGGCCTCAGCGCGCACGTGGGGGAGTGAGGGGGCGGAGCGCCACGCGTTCTCCGCGGGCTCGTACACCTCCACTGAGGCGAGCGTGGTGCGCGCGCGGTAGAACGCGCGGTCGCCGTCGTCGCTCTCGCTGTCGCCGCCCGCCGCCACCAGCACTCCGTCCGCCGCGCCCGCCGCGCACCCCGCACGCGCCTGACGCAGGCTCGCCACCTCCTCCCACGTGTTCTACAAAATATACATTGTTCAAAAAGCGTCAAGCGTAAAACTTAAGATGGCAATGTTGAAATCCGTTTGGTCAAAATGTTGTACTTACATCGTCGAAGTTGTACCTCTCGACGGAGGCGAGGACTGTACGCTGCGGCGCGTTCCCGCCGATCACGTAGAGGTGGTTGTCGAGCACGGCGGCGGCGGCCTGGCTGCGCGCGTGCCGCATGGGCGCCAGCGTGCGCCACGTGCGATTGCTCGGGTCGTAGCACAGAAGGTCGCGCGTGTGCCGCCACGAGTGCGTGCACCCGCCCACCACGTAAATAAGACCTACAAATTACCACAAAACACATGTAACACGGTGGTGGAAATTTTAGTAAATGTTAAGTAAATATATTTTTTAAAGTTGTAATATCATATTAAAAGTAGATTTACCTTCAAAAGTGACGACGCCCATGCCGAACCTCTGCTCGGGCATTCGTCCGATGAGGGACCACTCGTCGTTGATGGGGTCGTACATCTCGACGGAGCCGCCCATGTCGGAGCCCACCCAGCCACCGAACGCGTACAAGTGCCCGTTCCACCCCGTCAGGCCAAACTCGCACCGCGCTTCCTTCATTGGCGCTATGTCCGACCACTTGTTATTCTACAAAACATAACAAAACCGGATTTAAAGTTGGATTTAGAACATACATTTGGATAAATATTGCTGATTAAATAATATTAACCTGGGGGTCGTACACTTCACCATTGGCCAGTATCTTACTGCCCTGCTCGCCACCGACTGCGTACACTCGTCCCCCCATCGTCGCCATTCCTGGTTGGATGCGCGCAATATCCATTGGCGCAAGCTCCTCCCACTCTCTGAGTACACAAGATATCTTAATGGCAATATTGTTAAAAGAGGCAAAAAACACATCAAGGAATAAACACGACAGAACGTCAACGAATGTGTTTGCCGAAATATTATAGAAGCAAATTAATACATCGCAGAGCCGTTATTATATTTCATTAGGTTTTTAGTGACCGAGCATTAAGCGCTTAGTGAGAAGAAATCAAAGAAATCGGGCAATGTATACTGCGTAGATGTGAAATCGCAAGGCAAGGAACTTTTAGTATAATAAGAACTTTGGTCCTACCTCTTATAGAGATCAAACTTGAGTACAGTGGAGAGTATATTGTCTGAGACGAAGCTGGGCAAGACACTGTTGGCATGGCAGGAGCCGCCAGCCACCAGCAGTACGCGACGTGACCGAGCTCGGGGTTCCGCCGCCAACGACACCAGTGCACCACGCCCCGTTTTCTGAAGTCATTATAAAATAACATTTTTTTTATGTGGCAGTTGGTTTTTATATTGAAGGTTGGCCCTTGAGTTATTAATCATTATTAAACAAATTTTTCAAAACAATGTTAATCGCAAATATTTATGCTATCAATATATGCTGTTAAAATAATAATTTGAATATTATTATTCAACAGTTAAATGATTGTATCAACACTATTTTGATTACTCAACCAATCCAACTAAAGAAAACAATGGAGTTGGCGAACGTAATACATACCATATCATGTCGAACTGTTTTCAAGGCGATAGCTATAGATGGGTCTCGTGTAGTTTTTAGGGCGTCGTCCAAAGTTTGTGGCAAGATCAGCGGTAGGCGTACATTGCTCAAAACTTCGAAACAATGACGCCTGCGACTTGCTGGATCGTGTTCAAGCCATTCTAATGCTGGATATAAGACCTATAATGAAGTATATGTTAAATTTTTAAAACATGCAAGGCCACTATGATTTCTTTATAGTAAAGCTAAGTTCCCAGGCGAGTTGTTGACACTGTACATGTTAATTTACAGACCCAATTTTAACACCTAAGCCTTCAAATACCATATTTATTTATAAACCTACCTGTGATTCATTATCAACTTTCAGTTCTTCTGAGGATAGTAAAGTAACAAGTTGTTGCAGAGGTAGTTCTAAGAACTCTTCACCTTTTGTCACTAAGTTCCAATGGACCTGACAATGAGATAATGCTTCTTCTGCTAAGCTCATACAGTTGTGTGATTCTGCAAACCTGAAATAGGTTTACTATTATATTATTTGAACTGTTAAATGTACAGTAATATGATCAAGTATTGCATTGTTTAGGCATCTACTATATTAGAGTTATGTATTCCATAAAGCCGTATAATGTTTTTCAATTATATCAATTAGTGACTCAAATATAATTCAATTACTAATGCTATTGTAAAGTGCATCAATGTTTCAACAAGTATAGCCAAGTAACATAGTCACATCAGCATTAAAATAAAAACTGTTTACAACCTCAGATGAAAATTAATAATCCTTTAAACATTGTTTTGTTTTCACATAAATTTAAGAATTATAATAGTACCTATATATACCCAAAGCATTTGATGGATGTAATTCCCTTTTCAAATATTCACCACATCCAGTCACCAGCTCTCTGAGCTGAAGCATATCGGCAACTACCAAAAGATGTTGGACTGTTGCTTTGTCTATAATTATTTCACCTAAAAGACACATGAAATTAAATAAAAATATCACCCGGCAAGTTTAGTGATGTTTGTTTTAATTATACAGAATCCTATTTATGAAAGTACTAGCTGTCCCTCTTGAATTGGTTCACATATTTAAAAAAAAGGTTAAAAGTAGGCTATGTGTTCTTCTACACTATGTTTAAATATGTTCCAAATTTCATTAAGACCCATTGAGCCTCTAAACTTTCACATTTATAATATTAGTAAAATTATTAAATCATTTATATAATTTAAAAGATTAGATAGAAGGGTACAAACAAATAATCTTTTGCTATATATGTAATCAATAGTAAGGATTTACCTGTGTATATAAAGTCAACAATCATTGGTAGAATACCAGGGGGTACATTGGGTAATATAACATGACCTTTATGGCTCTCTTCCAAGCCCACACTAAACATGGCATCAAAGTATTCACAACTTGCAGCTAATACCACACGATGCGCCTGAAACATGCACTTTTAATATTTGTATTGCAAATTTTGATGAACATATTTATTATGATAGATTTTATTATAAGTACTATATATGATTGCTAACTATACATGTACTCTATTACTGCAGGATTTAATAGACGAAAATTAACAAAGTACTTACTTTCACTTTTGTTGATCCAGATATTAAATCAATATCACAAAATCTTCCATCTTTTCTCAAATTGTTCAGTTTTAATGACACCTTAGTTCCAAACTCCACACACTTGTATGGTCTTGATCCTTCTTTGCAAGGCAACTTTTCATATAAATTCGACATTGTTGTTATTTATATTCTAATTCAAAGCATTAAATGAGTCATTATTTTATTGGATCCAAAAGAAAAATCTAATTTGTATTATTAATACTTTGATAAATCAAGAGTTACCTTACTAGGCTGATCAATGTAACCCTTATATTTTAAATAAGAAATAGCAGTATGAAATATAATGTAGTCTTTAACAGTCTTTTATCAATTAATACATAATTCAAAGACATTTAAGAAAATAAATATAACTTTTTTGACATAGTAATTCTCCCAACCTCTCCTCAACCAGTGTTACCATTACTGGTTTTAAAATTTAAATTCAATATGTTGCTTGCAATTGCCAATCAGTAAAGACTGGTAAAGACGCGCATGTTTATAAAAAATAAATATTGCTTTCAAACTTTGAACTAGGTACCTACATTACATTTGAGATAATATGGGTTAATATCTTTCAGTGTGTTACCATCCACAGTAGAAGTCGCCACAATTTTAAAGCAAAATATTTGCTTATTGAGAATTTGTAACATATTACTTTCCAAAATAAACACAGACATTTTGTTGATTGCTTGTCCTGCTAATTTTCTGTTAAGATTTTAAAAGGACAAATATAGTTTTTGGATATTGTTTTAAATTTACTGAGCCTCGTTAGGAATCTAATTCTGCTCAAATCGCAGATTGATTTTGGTGCTGTATAATAATACCTACTCTTTGGTATCGTGACGTCCTGAATGTAAAACACTGTACTAATCTGTCAAAATTGTCATTGACGTTTGACACCAACTTGACACAAAAGACAATTATATTTATAAATCATAATAAGCATCTCGTATTTATTAACGAAAAGACATATTACATTTGAGGCTTCGGTTATATTTATAATTTTCGTTATGTCTATGTATTAAAATAAGCGTATAAGATGTTTGCCACAATTAGAAGGAAACTAAAATGGAGTACCACTAAGAGTACAGAGTGTAACAAAAATGAAAATTCTTTTTTATTTGTGGCCTTTATTGGCTTATTCGAAGATGTATTATTTTGGAATAAAATGTGGCTGTCCCTTTTGTTTATAGTGTTTTTGAATTTATTTTTCTTGTAAGTTTAAAATTTGACAAATTGACATAAAGTTTATCATCATTTTAAAATATTAGCGTGTTGATTTTTTTTTTCAGCTTTTGCGTCCATCAAGAAATTAATTTTTTGCAATTCATTTTCAAACTTACAATTGTTGTATTGGTTATTGATGCCCTTGAAACATGGTTAAAATATAAACATAGAACAACATGTTTAAAAAAGTTAGCTAGCTGTGATATTACAAAGTTCAATTCAGCTACAGTGCAGTTAAGTAATTGGATGAATAAAAGATGGCTTGATTATGTATTCTTGCGCGAACGAAACCATACCAAGGTATGTCTTAACTTACAAGCATTATTTTCTGTTTACTTTTAAATACTTGGAATCAACCAAAAAAAGCTACAAAATAATAAGATGGCAAACATTATCTAGTTATTTAACATTGACCTTTAACAATTACATTTTCTAGCAGGAAATATTCATTACATGAGATAATACCACATGACTATTTATAAAAGTAAATACTTATAAAAACCATGTGGTAATTTTAATAATTTATATGCTGCTTATGAATAAATTGTATATACAGTTTTTATTGATTTAAAAACATAATTTTTATTTATTATTTCACTGATATGTATAAAACAAATAACACTATTAGAAATTAGGATTCAAATGAACTATTACATATCAACTCTATTGACTAACTTATTGAAACTTCAGTGTATTCTATTGTTTCAGGCATTTTTGTTGCTACAGATTATTTTTGGAGTTGCGTTTTTTGTGTGTAAACATATCAGTGGATACACAATAATGTATTTTTTGACTATGTTTATATGCTTCTCCAAAAAGTTACTACCACCTATTGTGAGGCTAGTGAGAAAAATACAACTGAATACTGGTAACATTTCAAATTACTAATTGTGATAAAATGTTTCTAACCACTATGTATTGAAAAATAATAGTATGATTTGTAAGTTATTTCCATTTAAGTTTGAAATTAATGTTTTTTCTTATGTTATAGAATCAGACCTAGAATTAGAATTAGAAGGACTAATACCAGAAGCGTCTGATGCAAATATGGATTTATTGTCTATAGAGCAAGATCAAAATCAAATAATTGATGAAAAACAAAGTTTAGGCAAGTTGTAAATGAAACTAATTTGTTTATTATAATTTTATAGATGGATTTTTATTCTGTATATCTTTGCACAGATTATTGGAAACCAGAAGATTTGGCAATTGAAGAAGCTAGTGATAGTTCTGAAACTAGTAGTTCCATTGTTACTAATCTATCAATGGAAAAAATGCAAACATTTGAAAAGGATATTGAAACTTCGGATTCTAGTGAAGATGAATATATGCCACGGATTAAACGTAAGTATTGTTTGTAAAAATAATTGTAAAAACAGTATAAGAAATTGAATTAAACACATATATGTTTTAGAACCAGAACCATTGAGGGAAGAATATCGATCCACTGCAGTGGTTGAACCAGCAAATACATGGAGTAATGCTGCTTACAATGTATTTCAAAATTTAGGTGGAGCAGTTGTTAATATGATTTATACATCACAGGATGAGAGAAGAAGGAATAGAGTTTCCAGTATTGATTCATCTGATGGTTTTGAAATGATTGATAAAAATGATATTTTATAAAATTAATGAATACACATTTCGTTGATTTCAATTAATTTTTATTTTAAATATTTGTACTTAAACATTACAAGACATATTATCTAACATAGACATCAATTCTTGATGCCGTTTGTTTAATGCTCTTAAGCGAACACTGTAAAGAGCATTTCGTGCAACCAATGCTTCCAACATTGGCCTAGAAACCTGAAAAAAATTCATTGTTTAAAACTAGTTTCAAATAATTTTAATAGTGACTTTTAATAAGAACATATCTGAACGTAAATCATGTGCCATGTAATTCATGATTACATGTAGACTAAAATGTAGACAAATGCATAAAGAAATAAATAATTTAAAACATATATAATCCCCTTTCACTTAATATATTATAACATTTATAACTCAATTTGCTTATGTAGTGTTATCAGTTACAGGCAAATTTATATTTAGTGCATTATTTTACATAGTTTATAAATAAAATCAATAATGTCCCAAATCATTTCATAGTAAAACTAGCTGTCGCCCGCGACTTCGTCCGCGCGGGATGAAATATAGATGTTGGCCGATTCTCAGTCCTACTCAAAATGCTCACAAAATTTCATGAGATTCGGTCAAGTTGTTTCGGAGGAGCATGGGAATGAAAATTGTGACACAAGAATTTTATATATGAGATTTTGTACAGCAATTAAAATCTAATTATACAGTTGTGGAGGCGAAATATTTTATACTAAATAAATAACAAACCTTTTCAACAATATGTCCTATGGCTATTGTTCTGACTGCAGCATTGTGTTGCTTAGTAATGATATCATCAGTGTTGGTTAAGCCAACTTCATTGCTGTATGATTCATCTTCTTCTTCCTTCAATATTGCAGGTAACTGTGTCAAAATCTAAAAAAAATATGTCAACATTTTACCTGGCATCTACCAAAAATTATAATGACATTCAGTGTGTTACTTTTTTATACTTAACCTCAAAGTTGTTTATAGTTAAAGAATCATTATTGTTTGTTATTTCTAATTCTATTTCCCTTCTGCTTTGATTTGAACCTTCATTGACTGACTGGAAACATGTTATCTGTATCTAAAAAAGTACAACAAGATATTAATACCTAGAGGTTGCAGAGTTAGTTATTTTGAATATATAGCTATCATCATTGTTACCGAAGGTGCCTTGGCTGTCTGTTCTGTAAGAAACACTGCAAATATAATGCCCACAAAGCTTGAATCCATACGCTGGTACATTGATTGTGTTGCTAAATCTAGAAAGAATAGATTTGATTTATTAACTTATTTTCATCGAAGTGATGCTATGCAATTTGAACATGAGTTAGATGAAAATATTTACCAACATGTGATGGCCACACAGTGATGTGAGGATGTGAATGGTACCACCCAACAACTCGAAGCGGTCGTCCAACTTCTGCTGCAAGTTCTTCTGCCCTCAAAGTTGCTTGTACCAATTGTTCTTCAGATATTTCCACGCGATCGGGCTTTTTATCCAGTCGACGTAATATGACAGAAGAGACTATAGATACCAACGAGCTGTTATCATGAACCTGTGTGGTTTTAACTAATATATTAAAATCTTTGATCATCTCTTCCAATGTTTATTGCATGAAAACTTACCTCTCCTATCAACAGTCCCATTATTTCTTCTTTTTCAGTTGAAAGTGCATGTTGGACACAAGCTAGGGTAACGTCTGTTGATAATAAAACTTTATTTAACATTGTTTATTATGTAAAACAGCACTTATTGAAATCGAAAGTGGATAATCTAAAGCTCAAGGATTTCCCCTTAATCCACTAGTTTTGCTTTTTGTTCATTTATTATTTGGTTCGCTTCCTAGCTTATATTATTTTTTTGACGGGATTTGACAATTTTTTAACATGACATTTGTCACAGCTACAATCATAGAGTGTTTAATTATAGACTAAAACGATTTGTTTTCCTCTTATGTAAAGATATTTAAATAATGTTTAAAGTGAAAGTAATGTAGGGAATCGCCGAATTTAGAAGAGTAGCAACTTTCCGTCAGTAGCACGGCCGGCTTCTATGGGATTATTTTTTATGACCCAATGGTCTCTATAGTTCTCAGCATCAGATTGTACACTCTGCGATCAAACTCAGAACCTCCCTCCCAACCATTGACCACTACATATGGACGGGCTATAAACCGCGGTTTTAGTTCCTATTCAATTTTCGTCATTTAGCGCCTAACAGTTATTGGATGTTAGGGGTGGCGAGGAAACAAAATAATTGTTCAATTAGACTAAGACATAAATTCCGATATTAATGTCTGTATTTTTAGCAATTTTTCAATTGCACACAGACAGTATTTTATACACTTGTGCACGTAAGGCACTTCGACAGCCGATTAAGACGGAACGAAACAAAAGATGTCATTTTCAAATAGTGACCCGTCCATAACTATAAAGGTCAGTGCGCCAAACCCACTCCACTCAGAATTAATCAATGCCAATTGGATAAATTCAATATCAGTACGGCCGCATAGCCGTTTGCTAAGGGTAATTGGAATAGTAAGTGCCTCTATTTATATTATGTCTATGTATATTTTCTTAGTGCGATTGTAGTAAGAAAAATTTAATTTATGTACGTTTTATGCAACATTTGTATAAGGCTCCTATAATAAGTAATCCACATTTTTGCAGTTCCAAAGTTTGCGAATAAAAATGTTGAAGACTGTTAATATAATCCGAACTGCAAACGATCAGCTTTTACTGAAAAACAATAAATTTACATCAAACTGTGAGTAAAAATATTTTTAGGTATTAGATATTTTCATTATAATTCCGTAAACACTTTAAATGTAATCACAGGTTCGCAGGTTTTCTAAAACAATTCTCATTCCATGCTAGTAAAATAAGTCTGGAGGAGTAGGTACCTTCTTTTTGGTATCACAATTTTTTTTCCGTGATCGGACATTGGTTCAAAAATAGGTGACCCAATTTTGAGGCATTATCTCAACTATAACACAAGTTATCACGGTGTTTTTATTAAACCGAGTGGTTTCCTTGTATTCTATCCTGTAGGAAAAGTTGACTTTTTTTTTATTTATCGATGTCAAATAAATTAAATGTCAATGACAAGTCCTAAAACTTGCAATCATATCTAAATTGTAACATGATTGTTCATATTTATGTTTATACTCGGTTTTGCTCCAAAGTCTACAGGCTAAACCAAGGTATAATTTATCGTAACGCACTTAGTACTTAAGTTAAATTAACATACTTATCGTAATTCATTTATATATACAAATTGGCGCGAAATAATGAGCTAATTAACAAAGCTATTTAATATTTTAGGGATCAGATATTCAACTAGTGCTTTATGTGAACCTGCTAAGCCGAACATACGTACTGCAGTGCCTGGACCTAAATCACAGGCACTCTTTAAAGACCTCAATGCTCTGCAGGTAAGATCCTTTATAGATTTAGTAACAATTTGCTATATAGTGGCACATTCAGTTATTTTCTACTCTTAAATACATTTATTTCGATTCTTGGTTGAGCAGATTGAAGACTACATCGGACGCTATTAGTAACGTAGGGGAACTTGATTGGTCTGACAACGGTTATGTGCAATTGAGTGTCATGAATGAATGCCATTATATTTTTATTAATATTGCAGCTATCTTTCCCAACCCATTCGTGCGTATTACTTTGTAATCGAAATTCCAACATGATTTTACATACACATTCTATTAATTTACGTATATATATGATAACTCGATCCGTATCAACTGATGCCAGCAGTAACTGCATTGCAGACCAAGTTTTGTTAACAATGCAAGTTTGTTTCACCATGCCTATACTGCCTCTATGTTGCCCTATATGGTTGGCAAGGAAAACAATTGGCTATCGATGGTAAAGGACAAAAGATAATTAACCATCAAGTTTTGTGACATCGAATCGAACTGTATATGCTTCATTGTATTATAGCCATTTCCCAAACCTAAGTAAAATTGAAACTACGTAAAATGGCAAAAATAATTTCGAAACCAACATTTAAGTACCGGGACGTCTTTACGTAACATAGAAATAAGATGGTAATTACTGGTGATTTAATAATTAAAACTCTTCGTGGATATAAATTAATGAAGGTGACTGTTATCTTCGACATTGTTGCTAAGATTACCGCAGCGTTCTTGACTTTCATTAAATATGCATCACAAGTAAACATTTGTATTGAATTGTGTTTAATAATATCGGTTACTACATAATAACCTGATAACCTACAGATATACGTTGCATAAGATTTTTTGGTACAAAGATTTAAAAACGATATGCGTGTTATAATAATATTTTAATCCGACATGGTCCTTACGAGCAGGATAGCTGTAGCGTAATGCTAAAAAAGCAGATTCAATGTCAAAATATACTTTGCTATCTTTTTTATATTATATAAATCTAAATAAGATAGAGATTGAGATTAACTAAGATACCATATCATACTGTCAACAACAGTGACGAAAATAAAGGCGAAAATATTTAATACTAATAAATAAGAGGGAATTTTTTATTTTTTATTTTTAAAATAAAACTAGCTCTAATGTGTAATTTTCTCATTTATATATTGTTTCAACAAGCTTGACTGTAATGCCATTGAAAATATGTTGTGCATAATTAAACGGGGAATTATTTTTGTGTCAAGGTTACTATTGTTATCTCTATAATTGTTATCAGCGCAGATTGTAACTAGTTACTAGGCTAGGGTACTAATAGTAAAGCAAAATAAACGTGTTCTATTCGAGATAATAGTCTAGGATACGTATATCGTTTGAAATGTATTCTTCACTTTGTAATTTTGTGTAGATACAAATCCATAAAATATAGATGAATATTACGTTCTTTAACCAAGCTTCGTTATTCACAATTTTAAGATAATTTTCAATCTCATGATTATGATATTGTTTCAATATTTAATGTAGGGCCTTAATATGTCGATTGTTTTTTTAGATTTTTTTGTTTCAAGACTGATAGAGATTCTGTACTTCAATTTACTTACCGCCAATATTTAATTTATGTCAT